AGAGAGAAAGAGAAAGAGAAAGACGGAGACATTGTCAGATGGATGAACATCTTTGCTATTCTTAGACCACTGGTATTATATTTTTACCTGGATGATGGATTGTTGTATTTTTAATCTGCATTTAAACCATGAAAAATGGAAAATTTTCTCGGTGTTATTTGCTATTTTCTGCTGGTTCATAGTGTTGTGTCTCGGAGGCAACGCATTGATGCTGCAATAATTAAGAGTTAAAGCAAAACCAGGCTTGTGGAAAGTTGCGCATACTGTTACAGTGGGGTTGCCCCATGACATGTAAGATGATTGAATTTCCAAGAAAAGGACATCGTGTTACCCAGAGGGAATCATCAGGGATGCGATTCACATTGTTCGGACACTTACATGTTCACAATAGGGAAGCGCACAGGGTGTAAAATAATAAAAAATCAAGGATGCCTGAAATTTCCATTGTAAGGCTTTCTTTAATTCAGGGGTCCTGCCTCATACAGTGCATGCTCGCTTTTGACCACGTGGGTCAGTTTGGCTTACTGGGACACAGCAGAGGTGTAGCTGGCCCATAACCCACGAATTAATTTTTGCATTGGTCCTCGGACTTCCCCAGAGTCTTGTTTGTGTAGCCTGTAATGGTGGAATGCAGGGCGTTGTAATCTGGTATTCCCTGGTCCGGTCAAAAAAATTGCGGAATTGCAGCCGAATGTTTTTTTTTTCTTTGGAAGGTGGGTTGGGGTTGGGTTAAGGACAAGCAAGCTTTCTGTGCAAAAAGTAAGCCACGAAATAATTGAAACAACCTACAAGTATTTAGTGAAGAAAGTGGTTAAGGTAAGAGAACCCTTGAAGAGTGCCAAAAAGTGACCTGCGATCACAGACCGTGGGAAGCCAACTGAAACAGACAGACCCGCCCGCATGCCCATGAGTTAAGGAGTGTTGTTCGGCGCGACTGAGTTTTAAAAATAGCATTTTGCTTCCCTGTGTGAATGGTGTGTTAAGAAGGAAATAAGAGACGAACCGTGAGTCCGGCTACGTTTAGACCTTGTTGAGCATCGTATGCAGTTTGTAACAGGTGGTACGTTTGTTGTCGGCCGCCGTGAGAAGTAATCTAAGCCATGTTTTTGCTGACACGGCTGCCAAGGAAACCCATATCCGGTGTTCCAATCACGGATGAAATTACGCAGGGCACGGTTGTCGTTCACATGTTGGTCTGGTGGAGCTTTCGGTGTTATGATGTTGTTCAGAGTCTGAAGGCCTTTGTGTGTGTGTGTGGTGTGTGTGTGTATGTGTTGAGGAAGAAGAGGAAGGAGGAAGAAAAGAGAAAGAAGAAAAGACGGAAACCATTTGTCAGATGGTTGAACATTCTTTGCTATATTAGACCACTGGTATTTATTTTTACCTGGTATGAATGGATTTTGTATTTTTAATCTGCATTTTAAACATGAAAAAATGGGAAAATTTCTCCGGTGTGTATTTGCTAATTTTCTGCTGTTTCTTAGTGTTGTGTCTCATCAAGGTGGGTTGTAATTTTAGTCATGTTCATGTTAAGGTGTTTCATTGTTTATCTTTACCTGTTTTAATTTTGTACTCCCTTTTCCCTCACAATTCAATGGACCCTGACTCTCCTCCCTTTGGTGTTTGATTTTCCCGCCTTTTTGTAATTGTCTGCCCCGCCCTTGATTGTTTCACCT